ATGAAATCCTAGGAACCATGAAATCCTAGGAACTGTGGAACCAAGGAACCATGAAATCTAAGGAACCATAAAAACCTAGAAACCATGGAACCAAGAAACCATAAAATCCTAGGAACCATAAAAACCTAGGAATGATGGAACCAAAGAACCATAAAATCCAAGGAACCATGGAAACCAGGAATCATGAAAAATCTAAGGAACCATGGAGTCCTAGGAGCCATGGGATCCTAGGAGCCATGTGAAATGCCCAAGGAGTGTGCTGGATATTTATTACCCTTGGGCACTATCAGATGGGAGCAGGCCCAGGGTGGCACCGTGGTGACACCGCAGCTGGGCATGGCCCTGTGTCACTCCTGGCTGCTGGCATTTCAGCCATGCCAGATGTCCTGCAAATTTTCCATCCCAAACACTCTCCAGGTCTCTCCAGGACTCCCCAAGGAGCAGAACTTCATTGCCTTTGGCCATGGAAAAAGTGAAGGGCTGGGAATGATTCCTGATCCAAAACAGTTCCTGAGTGCATGGGTTGTCCATGGAAGGTGTGGCTGCCCCTGGATCCCTGGCAGTGCCCAAGGCCAGGCTGGACACTGGGGCTGAACAACCTGGGACAGTGGGAGGTGTCCCTGCCATGGCTGGGGTGGAATGGGATGAGCTTGAAGGTCCCTTCAGTCCAAACCAATCCGTGATCCCAAGATTCCATAATTCCATGAATCCATTCTGCATCTGCACACAGGTGTGGGGATGGAGGTGTTTTGTCCCAGGGCAGAGCTCTGTCCTGCTCACATCCCCACCCAAACCATCTTTCAGGAAAGCAAAAACCCCAAACCAATTCAGATTTACCTTTGTTTGATTTTTGAGATCTGTTTTTGCTAACATTTTCCTACATAATGGATATGTTCCTGCCTTGGTAACCTGGGATGAGCAAGGCTGTGTTAAAGCCAAAAGAACTCCATGTGGGGCTTGGGAAATCAGGCTCTTCCCTTTCATTTATTGTGCAGGAATGAGAGTAACTCATTTAGAGTTTTGGCATTTGTCTTTGGGCATGGCACGTTCCAGAGGGCTGCAGAGCTGCTGTCCTGCTCCCACAGACCTTCATCCCCTGGTATCAAAAATAAGGGATGCAAAAAAAATTGGCTGCTGGAAAAATCCCATTCTTTATGATTTAGCCAGTCCCTGACAGGCCACACTCCAGCTGGAGAGATCTGCATGTACAAAACAATGGGACCAGGTGACCTAAATCACCTAAATCCAGGGAAATGGGGATTATCCAGGTGTCTTTCAGGAATTCTGTCACTGGAGGGCTGATGTGGCCTCACCACCCACAGAAGACTCACCCTGCAATGCTGAACTCATCTCTGAACTTTAACGGTGGCTTTGTTTTGGAGAGAACAGAGTGACCTCAGTGATCTCTGTCAGGAAATAAGGATCTGAGGGGGCCATTGCCAGGCACATTAATTTTTATGCTGACAGGAACTGGAAATGTGGCAAAAAATATCTTTTTTTCAGTAAAAAGTGAACAATAGGAACAACTACAAGGGTGCCATCCTGCACTGTAATTAATGTGTTGTCATTAATTTTATTTCTTTCTGGAGAGCAGGGATTCATGATGCTGTGAGAAGATAATTTGTGAATTTCTTTACTATTTTTCTTGGCTAAAAAAACCAGAAAGGAAAATGATCAAAGAGTTCAGAGGGTGGGAAGAGTGACGCTTTGTGTGGGGATTGAGGAGCGAGTTGGGAAGTTGGGAATGCTCTGGCCAGTCTTGGCTGAGTAATTCAGTCTGTGACTTTAGAAAAATAATTTCTACTCAGTTTCCCCATCTGAAAAATAAGGAACTGCCTTCATTGAGCCGTCTTAACTAAGCAGTGTCATGACTGATGGATTTGGGAAGAGTTTGGGGACAGAAAAGGGTGATTTCAATAGCGGGACAGGCTGAGGGAGAGGACATGAAGAATTCCTGAATCCATAAGGATTTTTTTTCCTTTACTTTGCTCTCTAACTTGTATTTACCTCTGGAAGCTTTAAACATAAATTTCCAGTGATGATGCCTTGTTTTTGGGCTGTGAGAACCATTCCTGAGCTCAGCAATCACTTTTGGAGCAGCCAGACTCAATTTGGCTAGTTGTGATTCTAGTTCAAACTAGAAACCAGATTTCCCTGGATTTACTGAATAAATTGCTTTTATTTTGACATTTATTGAAGAATTAAACTCCTTTTAACTGTGATATCATTGCCATAATGAGAACCCATCCATTAGGAAATGTGGCTACTCAGATCCAGCTGTGTCTAAATAAATCAGTTGATTATAAATAATTAATTTATAAACTAGCCTGTGCTGGGCACTAAGATTGGGCTGATGCTACCTTGAGATTGTGGGAGATGCATCCCGATCCCATCCCATCCCATCCCATCCCATCCCATCCCATCCCATCCCCACCCCTGGAATGGCACCTTCCAAGGAACAGGATGTGTCACCTGCTGCTCCTCTGCTCCCCTAAAACCATCTCTGCCTCTGAAGGTTTGAGGTTCCCAGTGGTGAACCTGTAGGGAACAAATCCCATAAAACACCACCAACAAAATCTGCCCAAAGACAAGAAGAGGAATTAACAAATTAACACTTTTCTTCTTCTTCTTCTTCTTCTTCTTCTTCTTCTTCTTCTTCTTCTTCTTCTTCTTCTTCTTCTTCTTCTCCTTCTTCTTCTCCTTCTCCTTCTCCTTCTCCTTCTCCTTTTTCACAGATTATTCTTCAGAGGTTATTGGCAAGGAGGGCAATTAAATGGCCTGATGTAATAGCAGCTAATTAACTTGCAAGCCTGAAAATTCCTCGTTGTAATGACATCCCAACCCTCGGGTTTCTGATTGCCCAGCACATATTAAAGTATGGGTATCACATTTAGGTTTCCCAATTTGCTATTATTTGCCTGTATGTGGTAATTCATTCCCTGAAAATACCAAGAGGAAGAAAGAGAGAAACCTCTTGCTGCTTTTAACTCTGGATATAATTTTGACCTTAAGAAAGAACAAGACAGATATGAGAGAGTATATTAGATGTTATTATTACCGTAATAAAAGAGAGATAAAAATCACCGTGCAGAAAAGCTCTAAGACAACTATTAACCATTTGTCATATAAAGAAAATCAAAATTTAACTTATCAGAGAGTCTGGCACTTTAAAGATTCATCATGAAAAATTACTTTGAAGCGTGGAGCATTTATGCAGAATGTCATTGATGAGCTGTCTGCTTAAATGTTGAAAGAGTTTGGGGAAAGATTGAAAAAATGTCAAAGTTATGCCTTGTATCAGTCTCACCATATTTAAATTTATTTTTGGGAGTGAAACAGCATGGCAGGACTTTTTTCTTTAAGGAAACAAGCTGGAATTCACTCTCCTACCCCAATGGGCCATGGCTGGTGAGAACAGCTGAGGTGAGGATGGACCTTGGTGAGTGAAAAAA